ACCCGCTTTGTCTTCAGCGGTTGTGTCGGGAAGGTGAGCATCATAGAATGCCAATTTACTAGAAGAAAGTATTCTTGTGTTGAGGGAGTACTTCAAAAATTATTCTTGCTAATAAAATCCAACAACATATTAAAAAAAATGTTACCATGACCAAGTGGGATTCACACCAGGGATTTTAGGATGGTTTAATATTAGAAAAACAATTAATGTAATGTACCACATAAATAAGAAAAAGAGTAAGAATCACTTGATTGTATCAATAGATGCAGAAAAGATATTAGATACTAACCAAAACCCATTTCTAATTAAAAAAAACCCTCAATAAAATAGGAACATAAGGGAAATTCTTCAGCAAAGTAAAGGTCATATACAAAAATCCAATGGCCACACAATGCAATACTATGCATTCCTGAAAAAACAGGTGAAACCACTAAATAACTCATGCCTGGACTGGACCTGGAAACCATTATGTGGAGCGAAGTCGTCAATCACAAAAGGACAAATGGTGTATAAGTCTACTACTATAAGGAAAAAACCAAGACAAAGGCAAGCTCCTGTTCTCAGACCATGTCGTCTTCCAATCTGGTCCCCCAAACAACAAGTTAGTGTGGCTTCCTAGTTCCTATAAATCATTTATCACCACCCTATTTGAGCATTTTAAAAAGCAACTTCCCATGGTGGCATCACTCCAGCTGGAGCCAATTTCCTATGCTGTGGGCCGAGGGGGAAGACCAACACATTCTTGCTACATAGCAGTTCTACGGTCCTCCCAAATCAACAGATTCCTACAAGTATATTAGTGAGTCTTACTGGGAACTTGTATCGAGGTAGGTGGAGGGAGGAAACATGTCTGTGTCAAAGAAGGTGATTACACTTCTGATGGTGGGCAAAGCCCTTGGTGAAGAGAGCACTGAAAATATGGGTGCTATAGCAAAATGTGGTGACATAATTAGATAGTACCTGGCTGTTAGAGAAAATAGCATCTATGATTTTTGTCATCTCAAAACAAACATCTAAATAAGTCCACATGGAAGAAACACATGAGCCTGTGTGATCCAAGGAAGAAACAGTACCAGAGCCTAAATCCTAAACAGCCAGTTTGTGGAATGTCATGGATGACACAGGAAGCCAAAAATCCATTTGTAGGGTCCCTTTGTGGTTGAGTCTTTGGTGAATCCCTGCTGGCCATAGTCTACGAATGTGAATACCCTTAATATCAGAAAAGTATTAGCAGCTATAATTAGGTTGCTAAATTTAATGCCTTGTCATTAGATAGCCCTTTTGACCCATTTTGAATTTATTCTGATTTTTAAGTATCTTCTACTTTCTTTTCTACTGAAGTTTTTCTCTGTTTAGTTGGTGACTATTGCTATGTCCTTTTTGGTTTTCATCTTTGTTTTTTGTGTTTTCCTGTATGGGGAACTTAGGACGGATGGACCGATGAAGAGAGCAACTAGATTAATAATTACTTGGGAGTAGGGAAGGGGAAGTTGGA